TCTAGCCATATTGAACAATTTCCATTATTAAACACGCATCCTATTCTTACCCCAAAATTTGACACTAAACCGCAAGAGCACATAATTTTGTTTTCTATAATCCACAGAACATAATATTGACAGCCTCGGGCCCATTGGGCAATGTCCATTATCAAACACATATAACTTTCTTCATTTTAAGAGAGAAACATTATTTTATGGTAGGGTTTCAAGTAGTAAAATCTGAAACATAAGTATTATGAAATTAAATTAGAATCAAACAAAATGTAGTTCTCAAAATGGAAATCAGATTTCCATTTTGACTTTAAGAGACAGCCTTTGGCCAGATTTCTTATTCCCACACAAGGAGCTTCCATTATTCCGAGAGTAAAATCCCAACTGCATAAAGGGTGTTAAAAAAATCAAACAATAAGAAACTCTTGAAAAGGAAATAAGATTTTTATGGTGACTTTGAAGGACTCTAATTAAGTAGTATGTCTGGATCAATTTATAATTGTGAGTTGTTGGGGCCATGTTAGTACCAAATAATGTCAACTTTTATGACTTTGTAGTATTGGCAAATCATTTCGTTGGTAATTAATTTTTACTAATAAACAAGATACCATACCTTTCCCAAAATTATGAACTGCTTGTAAGATTATTGATGAAAAAGCTTTCTCTTCCGTGCTTCTGAAAACCCGAATAGCCACAACTTTCAAGTCAAATTATTTGCAACTCTAATATTCGTAAAGTTGGTCTTCATTTTCAATTAATATTGAATATGATATTCCTCTTCCCTGGTGAATTGCATCGACATCAACATATCGAAGTGTGTTTGGTAATGAAAATCCTTAATGAAATGTTGATGTTACTGTACTGATAGATACATTCAAACCACTATGGCACTATCCTAGACCATAAGTCCACAACCACCAACCACCTCTCCTGAAGGATCTCGCCCAGAATGAAGAATCCCACTTCCTACAACCATGGAGAAAAAAGACGAATTAAAATTAAATTTAAACTAACACAGTGAGAGTCACGGTTTTAATTAAATTTAAACAATACGAAGGATAGTTAATTAGTTTTAATTAATAGCTAGTAAGATATTGGTTAAATTGCATAAAGTAATATAAATTAAATATATAAATTTTTTACGAAGGGTGTATATAAATATTTACTTTTGTGCTGTGAACTATATATAAACATAAAGAAAGAAGATAGTACAAAGGGAGATGAGAAAGTGTTGAACACACGTCAATAATGTAATGATTATCATATAAAAGTAAAGAGAATGAAATAACTTCACAAAAAAGTAAAAATAACATAAAATGTTCAATAAATCTATTATCTAACATTCCTATTCAAACTCAATATGTGGTAGTAAAAAACATCAAAAGTTTGTCAATCAAGAAATTAAACCGTAGAATGCAACTTTTTTATATAATAGATTTGGGCATTTATGTTATTTCCATTTTTTTTTTAGTTTTGTCTTTTACATATTCATCTTATATCTCATTCTCCTCACTCTTATATCAAGACATTATTGCATTATTAAAGTGTGTTGAACTGCACTGTGATTTTCCTTTTCTTTGCCCTTCTATATTAATTGATAAAAAGATCTGCAAAAAATATGACTTGAATCGGACTAGTCCTGTCACCATGTGAACAATACAAACATATTAAAAAAAAAAAAGATAAAGATAATGCAAAGAGATATGAGAAAGTGTCTAACACACACTACAAAAAATTATGTAACTATTATTTTCTGGCGGTTTTAATAAACCGCTAAAAACAGTTGTAGTTCTAGCGGTTATTATAACCGCCACAAAAGATTTATGTTGTGGACACAACATGCCAACACTACAAGGAGGATCTTCATTAGATAGTAATGTTCATGGAGTTTGACATTACTTTTTTTTTTTTAGACATGATGAACTCATGAATTTGAACCTATGTTTTTATATTTGAAGCAAGATTAATTTTTGGACAATTTACATATTTTACTTTTGAGCATTGATCATGAATTTCATTTTGAGTTACTTAATATGTTGGATATGTTTTAGAATTGATGGATGTTAATGTCTTAATAATAAAAAATATGTCATGCTAGACCTATGGCTAGATGTTATCTTGATTTTTTTTTATAATGTTAAAAGTTGTTAATTTAATGTATCTTTATGTAATTATATTTGAACAAGAAACATATAAAATACATAAATATTATTATAATTATAGGTATAATTTATTAAAATAAGTGATCCTAGAATTTGACAAGTAAAATTTTTATTTATAAGTTACTTGAATTAAATAACAATATAATATAGTCATTATTAATTTTTAATGATTAATATGGTTAGTGATAATTTTAAATAATAATTTGATAAATGCCTAACATATATAGAATATTATTTGTTAATTTATAATAAAAATGTGTTTTTAAAATAATTTCAAATATATTTTAAAAATAAAAAATTACCATAAAATAAAGTGTAATTTTGACGGTTTAAAATAGTCAGAAAATGCGAAAAAGAAATATATATTTGTTGGCAATCTAAAACCGCCAGAAAATGTAAACAAGTACAAATAATAATAATTTTGTGGAGGTTTTAAAATTGTCAGAAATTTCTAAGTTTGTAGAATTAAAATGAATTTTGTGGCAGTTTAAAACGGCCAGAAAATGACAAACAAGTCAAACAGAAATACAATTTTGTGGCGGTTTTAGACCGCCAGAAAATGCCAAACAAGTCAAACCCAAACGCATTTTTTGGCGGTTTTGAACCGCTAGAAAGAGATTGAATTTTCTAGAGATCAAAACCAGCGTTTACAAAATGTCCGCCCCAAACGGGTTTTGGCGACCGTAGATCCGGCGGTTATTAACCGCCACAAATCACACATTTTTTTTTGTAGTGACACTTCAATAATACAATAATGTTCTGGCACAAGATTGAAAAGACTGAGATATAATATCAACATATAAAAGATTAAATTATCCTCACAAAAAAAGTGGAAAAAACATAAATGTCTATCAAGTCTATTATCTAACATGTACAACAAAATAATTTCACCTCAGGGATATATTTTTTGAAGTGTGAGTTCACGGATTCAAATCTTGCTGAGACCACTTCTTAAAAACAATAAAAATTACATGCATGGTTGAAGTTTACAGGAAGTCGGATAGAAAAGACAAAAAATTGTATACTTTGGTGTTTAGATTGAGAAAGAAAACAATTTATTGAGGAAAATGCAAAATAAAGATTTTATCATCCAAAAGAGAGAGTGAAAAGTTTTTATTTTAATTTATATTATTTGATATTTCAAAAGCTAATATATATATATATATATATATATAGCGGAACTAATCTATCAGCTACTTGAGCCATTCAGAAAAATGGAATTACATTGGGTTTGGATGAGCGTTGCTACTTTGTTGGCTTCTTACGTTTTGGTAAACAAATTTGTGAGGAGGTTGAATGGGTGGTATTCTCTCTCTTATTAAATTCTTTCTTTAACTCATTTCTCTCTCATCTCTCATGATGTCTCTCTCCTCTCTCTCTGAACAAATAAAAATTAATTAATAGAAAAAATAAATGAATTGGAGAATGAAATTAATAAGAGAGAGAAAATATTTGTATTTTTATTTAAAATTAAATTAAATTACTATAATATCCTTTGTACGAATTAACCAAATCAAAATAAATGAGTGATTTTTTTGTCCTAAAAATTGGTGTAGGTTGCTAACATACTCCCACTAAAAAATAGGTGGGAGTACATTAGCATTCCCCTTAAAAATAATCTTATAACATAATATAAGTTATTTATGATAAAAAAAATATAATTAAGGTAATGAAATGTATTTATTTATTATAAATTTTAATTATAATATTATTTATGTATTTAAAAGTATTTATTTATTATAAATTTTAATTATATAAAATAAATTTTTGATATTATATTTCACATACTAAAATACTATTTATTTTATAAATACGTAATACTTTATGGGTTTAGAGATAATCGAGTCTCAATGTTTTTATCCATTCTCTTTCTTTGTTGGTTCATGAATTACTTTTATTTCGCACATCGTCTATTTATTTTTGTTATATGATAAATTTTTCTTTAATACAAAAAGATTGCTGGTTTTTATGCCCTAACAATTCTTGAGAAGACTGTTAAATTTTAAGAGACTTACAGTTACAGATCATACAAATTAGCCTTTAAAACAGGTGATATCAACTTATCATACGTCTTATACGTCATTTATTTAAAAATAAAAGATTTAATTACATTTTTATCTATATAGTAATAAAATTGTATGATTTTGATTCTTAAAATTTTAATTAAATAATTTTAATGTATATTGTAATTAAATAATTTTGATTCTTTAAATTTGAATTAAATAATTTTATTCTATTAAATAATACAATTATTTAATTTTTGACTTATTTAAATTATATATATTATAATTTTTCTCATATATTAAAGAATATATATTTATTATTATTAAAATTAAAATTTATATAATTATAAGACTTAATCACCTATATACTGTTAGTGTAAAGTTTGTTTTACACTAGCAACCAATTATATCTTTCAATTGTGTCATGTCACTATAAAAAAGTAAATGTGTTTACAGTAACATAACACAATCAAAAGATATAATTAGTTCTTAGTGTAAAAATACTTTACACTAACGTGTATAAGTGATTAACTCTAATTATAATATTTGAAATCCTAAAATCATATAATTATACTACTTTAAAATTGTTCGATTAAAGAGACCAAAATTATACAAGAGAGTAAAATTATTTGAAAATTTTAATGAACTAAAACTACAGATGCTATATTCGTGAAGAAGAAAAAAAACGTATTGAAGCCAAATTTAAATATGAAAAAGACAAATTATGAGAATAAATGAACAAATCATCATTAAGAAGGCATAGGTATTTGTTCAAATTGTTTTCACGTGTATTTACAGTCATTATTACAATGACCAAGAAATTTGTGTACTCTTCTACTACTTTTAGAATCTCTCAAACAACCAACAAATAAACAACATCTACAAAACATCTCCGTGTCACCCAACTCACCCCCTTCCACACAATACCGCCACGTAGCACCCCGAGTCACCGACTCACTGAGTCTCCTCTCGCCCACCTCGCTCCGCGCCAGACTCCGCCGCGGAGCTACAAGCGCCACCGCACGACGACGGCGACACGCCCCCCTTTCTTTCCCTGCTGAGCATCCTCGTGAACGACAACATGCGACTCATCGGCGACCGAAACGCCGACTGAGTCGAGGGCGAGTCGAAACCCGACGACTCGTCCCTCGGAGGCACCTCGACGCTCACGCCAACCAACGAAGGCTTCCTCCTCTCCCCAACCGAAGAAGAACCGCTCCGGTTCGCACCCTCAAAAGGGCCCGAACCGGTTCCCGGTTCGGGTTCCGATTCGCGGATTATTATCACCACTTCCGGTTCGGGCGGGGGCTCAACCGGGGCGCGACACAACGGACACGTGTCGTGCGAGTGGAACCACATGTCGATGCATTCGGAGTGGAAGCTGTGGTTACACTTGGGCAAGACCCGACCCGGTTCGCCCGGTTCGAACTCCGACAAACACACCGCGCATTCCGGCGCGTTTTCCGGGTGGGCCTTGGGGTCGTAGGAGAAGACGGGGAGCGAGGCGAGCACGGCGGCGTCGAGGCCGCGGGGGACGGCGGCGGGGTGGACAGCGTCGTTGTGGAAGACGAGCTGCGTGCGGCGGATACGGCGGAGGTGGCGGCGGCGCGCGCGGCGGAGGTACCAGCGCGCGTATATGTGGAGGCAGAGCATGACGAGGACGACGAAGAAGAGGAGGATTATCGCGGAGAGCATGATTTTGCCGCTGAGGCTGTAGCCTTTGGCGTCGAAGTCTTGGGGTTTAGGGTTTGGATTCTGGTTGAATCTGCGTGTGAATGCATCGCTTTGGTTTCTGTCTTGAGCCATGAGTGAGAGTGAAGAATGAGAATGATTGTTGGTGAATAAAAAGGGTTTTGGTTTATAGAAGAGAGAAAGAGTGAGGAAGGTTCTGAAGTGTTTCTTGGACTCTGATATCTGAATGCTTTATATGCGTCGCCACGGTTGACGCGCTTTCTCTTTCTAATTTTCAATTTAATATTATTTCTTGTTTTTCATATATTTTGTGACGTCCATGTAAGTAAAGGTTCCGGAAATTGGGTTGCACCTTCGTCCGGAGACCCACGCTTTACTCTTTTACACGCGGCTTTTATTTTTCCAATATATTCATATTTTCTCAAATTATTATATATAATCATTTATGATGCTATACAATTATTCCATTTTTATGTATATGTATATCTTAATTTTTCTTATATAAAATGATTTATGACAGTAATAATTGTGCGAAGCTTGAAGCGGAGCGGACATGGGTCAACTTATGTGGTAAAGTAGAGGCATTGGTCAACATGCTTACTTAACCCAAACTAATCCCGGTCCCGTGTAAACGTTTACTCTTGGCACTTTTTGTCTATACGTCGTTTACTTTATTGCAAAGGAACACGTTATATTTTTCTTAACGACTGAAAACAAGCAAGAACAAACGCATTGAGAGCTTTGGATGTGCTTTCTATGCGATCGATTCGCATGAGTATTAAGACTTTAAAAAATTGGGTTGGTTAATTTGACTACAACCGTTGAAATACAAGTTTTAGGCTCTAAATTATGAGTAAGAATAAATTGACTTTTTTTATTCTCATTCGATCAAATTTGTGTCCTAAATGGACTGTGTTCAAGTCATATTAAGTAAAAATTTGAAATAAGTCCTTAGATAAAATATGATTTAATTTATAATGATTAATTAATTAAATAATAATTATTTAATAGACAATAGATTTAATTAAATATAATTTTGTTAAATTAGACAAGAAATTGAGTTTGTATTGTATAAACCTATAATATTTTACATTTAGGTTGATCACCTATCAGATTAGACTATTTAATTTTTTTTTGTCAATTTAATAGGTTAAATATTGTATGTCAATGTGTTGTATATATATATATATGATATTTTAAAATTTAAGATAACTATTATTATTATTATTATTATTATTATTATTATTATTATTATTATTGTTGTTGTTGTTGTTATTATTATTATTATTATTATTATTATTATTATTATTATTATTTATTTTTTCTTATATTTATTTGCAGGACTGGAAATTCATGAAGATGTTGCCCTTTTACTTGGAGAATAGTCTATTTAATTTAAAATTTATGAAATGTTAGTAGTTGTAATAGTTTAATATACGATATTTTGGATTTAAAATGTTGTTGTTATTATGTTTCAATTTTTGTTATTAAACATGTAATGGTTCATTTATATTTAGTGATTTAGTGTTTTAACTTGTGTCCAATACTGATGCATTTACTCTAATAAATATTTTTGTATTTTAGTTCATTATTGTACATGTACTGCATTATATATATATATATATATATATATATATATATTATTGTTATTGTTATTATATCTTCCTAGTGAGAGTGAGAGTGTGTTAGATATGTTGGCAATGAGACCTATCCCTTATATTTGGATTTATATAGTAGGATTTAGTTAGAATTTGTGTTTCTTTTAATCATGTTTTAGGACAATTATTATTTCTATGGTATTAATTTTCAATTGAACTTCAGTTGGTTATGTTTTGTAAAGATGTGATACTCTTTATGTTGAACTTTTGAAATTCACTTATGCCTATGTTTTCTATTCAGTTTATTTATTGTGTGTCATGGAATGCAGGACAAAGAGTGTTAACCGATGTAATTATCTTATAATCATTGCTTGATCAACAACTAGGATTTTATGTTTTCAACTTGGGATTATTGTAGTTGTGTATATATGTACAAGATCTATGTTATAGTTCTATTGAGGATCATTTATGCTTTCAGTTGGTTTATTTCCTATACATATATTCATATTATTGCATAAAGTGTAAAGTCCTGTCAAGTCGTTGTAATTATAAATTTTAATTTATATAATAAACATCTATGTGCATTGCATAAACTATATTAGTTAATTTGTATTGAAAACTACTTTCTTTGTGAATCTAATCATTTACTATATAATAAACTTTTTCATTCAGAAATATATGAAAATTCAATTTTATTTTTCCTGTCTCCTTCCTAATATTATTTTATATCTATATAAGATTTTCTATAATTTTAATTTTTTTTTTTGATATTTATTGGTCCTCTTTGAGTCAATACAATTATCAAACTAATCCGACTTTCCTCGATATTCAATCAAAATTAAATCTAGATCTCAATATTCTTAGTTTAAAATAAAGTTTCTCAAAACTTCTTGCTATTTAGTTGGACTTCCAAACAATGTCATGTAATAATTAATTTTGCTTACATATATATATATATATATATATAAAGGTAAAAGAACCTAAGCAATTATACTACCAAAGCAAAGAAAGCAATTACAGCATGTTCTAGTCGGATTCCCTAGGGTGGGAGCTTGAAGTGACCTAGGTGGTATTCAAGCCACTCCCACAAGCACTACTTGAATTACCCTAAAACTAAGAGGAGAAAGGTTGGGAGGATGGTGTTTTGGGTGTTCTAGTTGGCTCTCTTCACTAAGTGGAGGTGAAGGCCATTCAAGGTATCCCTAAACTCACTCTAAGGAGGAGATAAGAGAGGTAGGCCGAATTGACCTAGTGACTAAGGAGAGGATTTGAGGCAAAAATGCTCACTCAAATTCATATATTCCAAAGTATTTACATGATGCATAGCCTAGGGTATTTATAGGAGTGGGAGGCATCTAGGGTTGCATTTGGAGAGTGCATGGACGAAATTCACAAG